CCACTATCCTAAAAAAAAAAGCTACCATCATCTCTTGCCTGGATTTTAGTAACAGCCTACATAGCCTAATTTCCTCCTTCAATTCTGGGCTTCTCTTCAAGGCTTTCCCAGTGTTCTGAAAATAAGAACCCAAATCTTTAACATAGCCTACAAAACTAGGTGCTTTCTAGCACATAACTTTTGTGTGGTCAGTCACTTCTCTCTACTTTTTACCTCCTTGCTTTATTAACTACTATGCATCCTATGGATGTCAGCACCAGTTACTTTTTCAGGACAGTGCTAATTCCCTTCTGGTGTTTTCAGATTCCTTTGCTATATACTCTAATAAAATACTACTCCATTTTTTTTTGTTTGATTTGTCAATTTATGTGCTCATTAATGTGATTACTTGATTAACATCAGTATAACCTATTAAACAGTAATCTTCATGAGAGTGGAAACCATGTATTTTATTTTTGTTGTTCACCATATTTCTTTAGTGCCGAGCACATAATAGGTCCACAATAAACACTTATTGTATGGAAGCTTGCCTGCAAGCCCATCTATGTGTTAGGGAAGTGACCCTACCTAATTTTCCCTGTGGCTTCCTTGTTGCTGATAATTCTATGGTTATTCTGTGGCTAAGAATACAGTGAACAGACATGGTCTTCTGGTTCACTGTCCTTTCTTTGTTGCATGGGCATTTAGGAGCCTTTTATTAAGAAAATTGCTTGACGAAGTGAATAGCACTATTTGGAGAAGGAGGAAGAAAGAAGGATAAAAATAGTCACTCTTTGAGAAAAAACATCAGTGTCCAGTCCTTGACACTTTGGAAGAGCTTTCAGAGAAAAGCATGCTTTAATACAATCATCAGTGACCCAAATTGAATGCGAGTTTTCTTATTCTGTGAGATGAAAGAGGCAAGTACTTGCATTTTTAATATATCTTTGCTTTTGCCTTAAGGGACACCAGCATTCTAAGGTAGATTTTTACGTCTTTTTAATCCATGGCAAGGGAAATAAAAATTAGATCATATTTGCTGAATACCTACTATTTTTAAGACACTGTGCTACGTTCATTTGATTAAAAATTGACACTGGTTATGCATTAGAATGATTTTTTACAGGCCCAAAGAGACTTTGGCAACCTCTGGTCCTCAATGGGGTAAATGGACTAGAGGGAAATAACCACCAGAGGAAAGCATGGCATGACATTTAAACAATTTAGCAATTTTGTCTGGTAGTGAATTAATTATACTGCCCAGCTGATCCTTGGCTTCAATACTGACTTAACTTCCAGGGTTCAAGAGTCCATTTTAATTTGGATGTTTTTACTGCCAGATCAGCTTTGATTTCTGACATCTTGGTTTGGTGAATTTCAAACTAGTTTCTAACAGAAAGGGAGTGGGCAACCAAGGGATGGTCAGTGATGTGGTTTGGGTATCCACCATTGGAAGTACATTGATGTTTAGTGACCTTTATTAGCTGCTGCTCAAATTTCTGTCTGTTAGCTATCCTCTATCACTTGCTGTATGATGTGTGGGGTCTCCAAAGTAGTGCCAAGAAAAAAGTTTCCGTCAGAGCTTCACAAAAGCATGGGTACCTGTTAATTAGTTTCATTTTCAGGGGAGCTTTCAATGAAACCACTAATGTGGCATGAAAATTCAAAGGCGTCTGGGAGAATCTCCTATTGGTTGGGAGGTAGCAGATGGAGGAAAGAAAATGCATGATCTGTACTGTAACCCTTGGGTCTATTTTTTTTCTTTTAATCTGACCTTGAAATTTATTTATATCAAGCCATAAATAACTCCCAGGGCATTTTGCGCCAATGTTCACAGCTTATGCTTTCAGCCAATGTTATTAGTATGAATTGTACTTTCTTTCACAGACTCAGAAAACACCCCCAAGCCTCCAAGATACCCCAAATTTTATTTAATTCATTTTTCTGCTTTTTGAAGGAAAATACTGACATCTTAAAAGAATAGGGATTCTGGTATTTAAAAGTGTATGTGCTGAGCAATGTGCTAGATCTTTTACATATGTTATCTGATTTACAGGTATTTATATAGAATGTGGTTGTGCAAATAAAGAAAACACATTCTGTAAAATTGTACTTTAAAAATAAGCAGTATAATAGAACAAGAGACCTTGGGAAGACCACTCAAAACTTTTCAACTTTGCAGTGCAAATACTAACTATCTTAATTTAAAAAATACTAGCTTAGTTAAAATAGCATAGACTTCATCTTTCTTTAATAAAAGGTAAAAGTGGCTTGATGGACTGAGGCCTAAAGAGGGGCTGCAGCTGCTGAGTTCAGGGAAAATTGCTCGATAACAATTTCAAAGCAGAGCATACAGCAAAACTGAACCAAGAGGCAGAATGTAGGGGGAAATTAACATAACATACGCTACTCTATTCCTCTGAGGCTTACTGTACTTAGCTATGTTGGTGTACTTTGCATTCAGCTGCAGTTTCTTAGCGGTGCAGGATATCACAGGCTGGGAAAAAAGTCAATAACCAACATGACCTCTGAGTTATACTGGCATAATCATAATAATCACACATAAAATAATTCAAACTATAAAAATAAGCATTGTAGAAGAGCAGAGAATAATTTTTATAATAATCTTTTTGGAGATTGGCAGACACACACACACACACACACACACACACACACACACACACACTCATTTTGTATAACTAAGAAAACCAAGGAAAGAACATTCCCAATTTCATCCAATTGTAGAGTAAAGCTAGGTCTGGGTTTAGAGCCAGGTTTATGCTTTTCTTCACCTAAGGGATCTCAGGCATTTTAATGTTAAAATTCTATGATGCCTCTGGGGAAGAGGGTAGGAAGTCAACATATAATAAAGGTCTAGTCTGTACAAGCACTGAAATACACATTCGCACACAAATTTCTTCAGGTTTTTTGAGGTGGATTATTATTCTCTTTAAACAAAAAGCCTGTGTTTCTACCCAAATCACACTCACACTGAATAGTTGATTTGTATTATTTCGGTTTGTAAAACCCATCCTCTGCCCACCATACCATTTGGTCCGTCATGGCAGTACAAGGAAAGAGAGAGGAGGAGTGCTTGTTCAATTGTAATTCTAGGACAAAGTCACTAAACGTCAAGATCTTTCCTTTTATGTCACCATCATGCTATCAGAAGGAAGATAATTAGTTATTAAGACATAAAAAAAAACTCACTATAATGTCAAAGTTTGACATTAACAGCTAATTCTATACCCTATTCCTTCAAAACGACCAGAAAGATAGCAAATCATCATGAACAACATCCTGGTTCTAGAATCAAAAGTTTTGTTCTAGACCTATTATTTGCAAGGTGTGTAGTCTCGTGAAACTAAAAAAGGACACTGAAATGATAAGAATGAAAGCATTTTGTAAACTGTATGGCCTGATTTAAATCCAAACTATGTATTATCATGATTCCTCATAGTCTCTTGGTCTCATTAGATATAATACTGACTGGTTTCTTACAGCATCAGTACCGAATTGTAAGTTATTTGAGCTTGCGGGGATTTCTAAGTGTTATCATAGAAATTTAAAATTGGAAGGAAAAATAGCAGTTACAGAGTTCAGAGCCTTAATTTTGTAGATGCTGAAACTGAAACCCAACAAAATGAAGTGTCTTTCTAAAGGTCACCCAGATACTTAACAATTCCTTGATGTAAGTTTATTCCCTGATATAAATTATCTTTAATTTCTTGCTGAGAGAGGGTTCCATTCTTAGGCTTATCACAATTATTCTCCATCAAACAAAGTAATGAAAATCAGACTGAACACAATAGACATGTTTCTGCTCTTGGACCTTGCCTTGTGAAATTGGAAATCTATCTATAAAATAGATCTAGATTCAGTTGAATTGCCTCTGTTTTTAGCTTCATGTCATCTCTAGAGACTTGAATCTTGTTACGGCATCTCATGAAGCTGAAATCAGACAGGTTGAATAATTTGCTTTCTACAAAATGATTGGTTTCTAGTTTCCAGTAGAAATAGTTTCATTCTTTTGTTTGAGAACATTTGGAAGTCAAATATTTGAAACCCTGTGTTACGCAATATTATACCTTTGTATAAAAATAAGATACAGAAAATTACCTAAATACCAAAAAGAATGAAAAGTAGGCCTTGATTTCAAGGAAGTTTATTTCAGAAATCATGCATCTGTACTTCTGTTGAAGCTAAGGTAAAGATGGATAACCTTATTTTGATCCGCAATTACTAACTTTTAGCCTCAGCTCATTTTTCCTATCACTTATAAAAATCAAGGTGACATCAACTTTTCCTTAAACACTGAAGTGTGTCACTAGAAGTGCCTTTTTCTCTAGATTAATTAGGAAAATTCTTTAGGGAAACAAAAAGCAATCCTGAACAAATTAGTTCAAAATACTAAAACTGGAAATGAAATGACTAGTATGATACTCTAGGACCCTTGAGTATCCATGAGCATTTCCTCAGGTTTGATTATGTCAAGTACTTTTGTTTTTAAACAACCACACACAAGATGAAACAATTCAGATTAAGGTATAAAAAGAAGCTTTTTGGAGGTTTATAACTTAAGTGTGAATGTCCCTAGAAAACTCATCAGAGACGAACTCTGAGATGCCAAACAGTGGCTTTTTAAAAAGGATTGGAACAATTTTTTTTTTTTAAAGAACAAATGGTAAACAAAACCATCACTAGCTGTATTTTGCCCTCCTTAGTGGGCAAGCAAATGTTCTTTAAATTTTTCAAAAACTATGCTTTCTTATATTCCTGGAAAGATAGATTGTTTCCTCTAAAATCTAACAGAGGGCTAATAGGATTATATGAAAATTTCAGGAAAAAAAACAAAAAACAAAAAAAACCCCACAACTCTCTTCCCCCTGCCTAGACTCTACCAAGATAAACAGAAACAAACAAAAATTAAAATTCAGCCAAAATGAAATCCATGGATATGTAGATTTTTATCCATAACAATAAATAGAAGACAAATAACTTTTTCACTTAAAGAATCTTAGGAAATTTTAACTGACATCTAGCTTTTCCACCATGCTAGGCCAGTAATAAAGGTGAAAATTCCAAAAGATAAGCATGGTAAACCAAAGCAGTTTGCATTTGTGAATTTCAAACATGAAGTATCTGTTCCTTATGCAATGAATCTACTTAATGGAATCAAACTTCATGGAAGGCCTATCAAAATTCAGTTTAGATCAGGAAGTAGTCATGTATCGCAAGATGTCAGTTTGTCATATCCCCAGCATCATGTTGGAAATTCAAGCCCTACCTCCGTATCTCCTAGCAGCAGGTATGAAAGAACTATGGATAACATGACTTCATCAGCACAGATAATTCAGAGATCTTTCTCTTCTCCAGAAAATTTTCAGAGGCAAGCAGTGATGAACAGTGCTTTGAGACAAATGTCATATGGTGGAAAATTTGCTTCTCCACCTCTGGATCAATCAGGATTTTCACCATCACACAGTCATAGTTTTAACCAGTCTTGAAGCTCCCAGTGGTGCCACGATACCCCATACCCCATCCTCACAGCATAAAGTCAGAATGAATTCTCATCCCTACCTAACAGATAGACGTTATAGCCAGGAACAGTGTTACTCTGATCATGGGTCTGACCATCATTACAGGGGAAGCAGAGATGATTTCTTCTATGAAGATAGGAATCATGATGGCTGGAGCCATGACTATGATAACAGAAGAGACAGTAGTAGAGATGGAAAATGGCGCTCATCTTGACACTAACACACGTTAAAAGGACATTATTTTTTTAGGGTCATTTTAGGTCCTTTAACTAAGTGGATAAGGAAATAGTTTGTTGAAAAACTGTACAGAGCAGCTTTACAAGTTGTCACATTTCTTTATACATTTTTTAAAGCTACAATTTCATAAAAAATGAATTGTGGTTTTATTACAGTAATAACCTTTCACTTCAGGGTTTTATGAAGAGGAAAGGGTTTTATGCAAAAAAAAAAAAAAAAAAAAGTGCTGCAATTCCTAATCGTTTCAGACACTTTAGGAGGAGGCAGGGTTGTGTGATAAAGCAGATATTTTAATTATTCGTTGTCTATTGCAAGAAATTTCTTGCTAGTGAATCAGATTTTGGTGTACATAATAGAAAACATCCAAGTTGACAGTCTAAAATGGCTACCAGTATTTTGTTAATAAATTCAAAAATACAACTTTTCAGTGATTCATTTTACTAACATTCTATTTGAGAAGGCTTTTGGTTAAGTTTGGGGATAAAGGCATTGTTTAACTTCTTAGCTAATTTAGATATAAATTCTGTGACATGCTCTTGAGCTTTACCCTAGTTGAACATACAAGTATAGATCTGCACATACTGTTTCATTCTAAAATTTTAGTAATTGTTCATTAAATCACATTCGAGGTAAAATAAGTCACTCAGGAAGTTGAAATGTCTCTACATGTATGTTTTTACACTAAAAATAAAGAGTTAGCATAAATCCCCTTTTCAGGAAGAACAAAAATGTCAGTGCATAGTTAGATAAAATGGTAAAATGTTTTACTGAAAGCATACTCCTTTGGAAAAAGATTCATGAAGCCTTTAAGTATTGCCTCTGTTGGTCAAACACTAAAAATTTTAACATTTTCAAAGTGCTCAGGATGTGTACAAAGACACTTTTAATGGAGATTGTACAGGTAGCTTTTTTGTTTGAACCTTTGAGAGAATCTAATCTTAACATTTTCTAATTTAAAAATTTTAAAATCTTGTTTAACAAAAACTTTTATGCATTAAGATGCTGTTTTCCTTTACAGAATTGTTTACAAAAGATCATTTGTTGAAAAATAAGGATCCTTTTTAATACCAAAAAATAAAAAATAAAAAGCAGACTTTTTTCTGAGGTTTAATTGCTCCTATATCGTGATATAATCCCTGTCTCTTCTGGTTTCACAACACGACACCCCACACCTTTCATTATCCTTGATAATGAAAGCTGTAGGAGGGACTTTGATTTATTTTGTTTCATTTTGGGAGGTTTTTCTGATTGTAATATTTTGTATGTTTTTTTTTTGTTTGTTTTTTTGTTTGTTTTGAGACAGAGTCTTGCTCTGTTGTCCAGGCTGGAGTGCCATGGCATAATTTCGGCTCACTGCAACCTCCACCCAGGTTGAAGCGATTTTCCTGAGTCAGCCTCACGAATAGCTGGGACTACAAGTGCACATCACAATGCCACCGGCTAATTTTTGTATTTTTAGTAGAGACAGGGTTTTACTATGTTGGCCAGGCTGGTCTCAAACTCCTGACCTCAAATTATCTGCCCACCTCGGCCTCCCAAAGTTCTGGGATTACAGGCGTGAGCCACCATGCCCAGCCTTATAGTTTTTAACTTTAATATTCTGAGATCATAATTTCTTAGCAATTCAGACTCCCAAGGGTTCCTAATTGCAATGCTTTAAAGATTCCAAATTAACTCAATTTTATATAACAAATAAGGAAACTACACATTCCAGGGACAGGACTATAAGAAAGAGTGTGGAGATGAATAATAGGACAGAGATATTCCAAAACAACTAGCCAAGACAATGAAGATTCATTATATAAATCCCATGTCATTTAGCTAGGCAGGTTTCTGATTGGGGTCTAGAAAATGAGCAAGAAGGGTAGAATAAAACCTTTGCTTCTTAGATAGCTATCAACTGTATACATATTTCTTTTAGACTAACACATTCTAGATATCTCTCTCTCTCTCTCTCTCTCTCTCTCTCTCTTTCTCTCTCTCTCTTTCTCTCTTTCTCTTTGTCTCTTTCTCTCTCTTGTAAGGGATCAGAGGGATGGGGGATATTACTATGATATTTTCTCAATGAATGCTTTTTGCCTAGCACCCACATTACCTGATTATACTGCTTTGTCTCAGAAGCCTGTCCACAGGAGGCTATGACAGCAGAGTATGTAATCCAATGGAAGGTCAAGGGTTCAGTTACACTATTTCCATGGTGATTCTCAGCCTGATCTATACTCAGCACTCACCCTAAATATAAAAGAATGCAAACTGAAGTGATTCAGAAGCACTTAGAAGATGATTTGCCAGCCACTAAGACGCACAAAAATGGATCAAGTGCCATTTAGCCAAGAACACTAATTCCAAAGCACAGGAAAGATAAGAAAAGTGAGAGAAGCCACCTCTATTCGGTGAATGGAGTAATTATTCCATAATATTTTATCATTGTTTTTTCTTAAAATCATCAAAAGGGCTCAGTTAGACAATGGAAAATTATACTTGTAGCACATGTTAACGTAGCTTTTAGCAAATATAAACACATACAAAACCTGATTCACATTCTGATCTGAAGGTCATGCAAGTCTGTAATTTACCTACTTGAGTTTTTAATGCATAGACTAATTTGGAGCCCTGCAATTCTCTCTTCATATACTCACTATTTACTGGAACCTATTGTTAATGCAACAAGAGACTGAGCATGTCACTAAAAAAACCAAATGAGTTAAGACCCTGCCTTCAGAGTTTATTAGTAATAATAGCACTAGAAAAATAACTACAGCTTCAACTTGTCAATTACCTCTTTTGTTCCCAGCACTGTGCCTAAGGCTTTGCACACAAAGCCTTATTTAATTTTCCCGTGGACTCTGTGATGTACCTATTATTATCTCTGTTTATATATAAAGAACTGAGACTCAACAGGATTAAGTAACTTGTTCAATACCAGGTTTTGTGCCCCAGATCTCTAGGGCCCTGAATCCTGGGCTTTTTTTCTACTATTCCAAACATCTTTCATTAACTTTTACTCTAACAGGAGAGATGAGGTGAGACATATGATTGCATGTAAGTAGGCTTTGCAAACCAATGATTACAGTTGTGGTTCCATTAACATTATTATCTAAATCTCCATAGTTCTGGATTTTGTGTGACACTGCTTTGATTTGTTGACAAATCAGCCCTTCTTGTTGCTGACTAGCTGAGGCAGGAGTCTGTTGCCCCAAGCTCTTACGGTTCCACAGCTGAGAAGCTGAATTCCTTTCCAAGTCATCTTGGCCATTGATCCTCTGTAGGTACTGGTGAGATGAGAATCTGTCTTGCCTGACATTGGTAAAATTGTAATACTGGACTTCTGGTTAATGAAATGCATGCTCAGGTACTTAGAAAGGAGTGTGCTGATGTCTAAAACTTACTCTGAAATACATACACAATTAGATGTATTAATGGATCAATAGATGAATAGATATGTAATAAAGTAAATAAAATGCAATATTAATTGTAGACTGTACGCCATGGGTATGTAGATGTTCGATATAAAACTTCTTCAACTTTTCTTGATATTTATAAATTTAAAAAATAAAACATGGAGAAAAATTGCAGTAGTTTTACTGTGCTTCAAAACCAAAGAAACTCAATAGTCAAGTTTGAATAATTAAAAAAATTTCAATTTGTGACATATTTGGTTTGGGATAGAAGAGAATCTCACAGTAAGATGTTTACCCCCCACCCCACAAAATATTGTAGGAGCGAAAGAATTTTTTCCATCCCTCTTCCAAAGTTTTCCTAAGTTGGATTTATAAAACAAACTGAAAATGAACAGATTAGCAGGAAAAAAAGGTATACAAATGTGTTTATGTGCATATAAAGGTGGGAGTCATACAAAACGGGTGAGATCAAAGAAGAGCCAGAGGACTGAAGTTTTATACTATCGAGTTCCAGAAAGAGTAAGGGCTTGGATCCTCTGGGAGTGAAGGAAGGAGGTGGTGTAACAGGTGATGAGAGAGTAAAGGGAGAAAATCATGGCAACCAAAATCTATCTTGTGAATACCAACAGAAATCTTGCAGGTAACCTCGGAGCTACCCTCAAAAAGAGCAAGTGGTGGCCTGTGGTAAAGTGCTTCCATCATTTAAAGTGTTGGACTTTTAATTCTTTGCCTTTGAGTTATTCTAGGCATGAATAAGAAGGACTGAGAAAAAGCTTGTTTACATCTACTGTTTACTTCATTTCACTAATATAGATTTACATATCTTCAGATGCAAAGCTCCCCACAAAAAAACAGATTTTCATGGTTGTTCTTGTGTTTGCAGCCCCTTTGAATAGACACTCAAAACAAGCCAAATAAGTATATTTTGGGGTTAAATATTCTGGTTTCTTTCAGTATTATGAGAGTGTTCCACAGTGAGCAGATCTGTGCAAACCTACCCCCAAAGGCAAAGGAGCTGAGAAACTGAAGACAGACATGGACAAATCTAGTTTTTTAGAAAGAAGCATTTAACAGGATTTAGAAACAGAAGTGATGTCTCAGATGTGCACGAGAAAGCGCATTACCGTACCCGCAAATCAGAAAATATCCCTTATATAGCAAGCTGTTAGATTGAAGACATGTGAAGCTGGTCACGTCTTTCTTGCAAAATGGTGACCGCTGTGGAGGTTAGATAAGCGTGTTTATGGTGGGGTATCTATGCCAAGGGCATTGCTTGCTGTGAACACTGAATTACGCAGGGGTTAAACTTGGTCCTCCTGGCAGTTTTGCTTTAAGGCGGCCTCACTCTTACTATGCAACACACTGTTTTCCCAGAAAGGGCGAATCTGCTTCTTTAATTCCCAGATGCAGCCTTTTTCACCTAGGGCACATACCGCCTCAAAGGCTGAGTTGAGTTCAGGTGTCTACACATGCTACTCTACCGTAGTCCACAGTGTTCTTGAACTCTGTTCCTGGTCCTTCCCTATTGTGTCAGCTATTTTAGGGCACATTTTATCATAAGGCCTCACTGTTTTTT